CCATACCTTTTTTTTTCCCCCCTCAAAGGTCACTTGAGAACATATTTTATATATGTGATTATTATATCTGATAAGAGGTGGAGGAGGTAAAAAAAGAAATTAAAAACAGGTGGGGTTTACAGCAAAATTAAACATATTCGGTAAGTTAATCATATTAGAAGTTCACTTGATATTGCTTTCCCTTTACGTGGCCAAAAATGAAATACTATATAAAGAACGTCAATCTATTGTAGCTGATAACATGAGTTTTCAAGTCCATCCTGGCTATCAAAGACAACTAAATTGACACAGAGGTCTCTCCTTTAAAGGGACTGTTTGCTAAGCATCAAGGAAATGAGATGTGGCAGTTATTACTACAGGGAAAAGTCTCTTTTATTAGATCTTATATATTCACTCCAGCCTCCTAGACTTTGTCCACACTAGCAAGTAAAGCAGTACAACAGTTGCAGATTTGTGGACTGCAACAGATTGAGGAGCTGGCAACCACACAGGTGCATTGGGTCTTTTATGTCCAAGAGGCTCCAGTCTGTTCCTACAGACTGGAGCCCACTGGCTGAGGGAGGGCATTACACATGCTTCTCTTCTGGTTTATCTGAAAGGGATCTAGTTTGCGCACTGCAAGATCATTCCAGAATTCAAGCCAAAGCAGGGCAAGTGAGAACCAAAGAATACTTTTCAGCTGAAGTAAAACCTTATCGTAAATGCATCCCTAGAGAGAATTATGAGACGTAGAAGGAAGACTATCATCATTTAAATACTGCCTTCACTAGAATTACTTTCATATGAGCAACAGCATGTCCTTCCATTTTGCTTCTTGTCTTGTTTCTTCAAAAAAAAAAAATCCACTGTGTTTGCTCAAGTCACTGCCTGTTACTGACTATAGCATTTGAATTCAACAAGAACAAGCTAATTAGGCCAGCAGCCATGCTGTATCCAATTTTTTCAGGGTAACCTTGTCACATCCAAGCACTCAATTTGTAAACCCAGAATGCTCTTACTTTTAAGCATAAGATGATATTCTTTACCATAACTGACAGAGATAAATCCACTCAAATAATGAAAGTACTTTAAAAAGGAATTTATGGGAAAATAATTACATGCAGCCACTGAATCAACATAGATGAGTTAAAAGAAATTTCCATAAACATAAAATTGGAATAGCACACACACACACACACAAAAGACGACCAAACCTTCTGGTGAATCCATTTCATTTTTCCTCAAAATACAGAATAGTTCACATCTTAGAGAAGCCACAACAAAGCAGTATCTGTCTAGTGATGTCACAGCCTTCTCAACAGGCTAATCATGTTGTCATTCCTCTATGGGCAAAATGACCAGGGCCTTGCTTTAGGTGAGTTAAACTATCCTCTCAACAGCCTCAAAAATTTCACTGGATATTAGGTCCTGAAACACCTCTTAAACACCATGCAAATACATACTATTTTCACAGCATGAGACAGCCCTGTGATGATTTTGGAATTGAATTCAGGAAGATGTTTAGTAAAACTCAAATCTTACAGAATTATCCACCTGTTCTGACCATGGCAGTCCTGGAAAAATGTCATCAAGACCATCTGTACATTGAAATTCTGAACTAGCTAGAAAGTTTCCACTGTATGTTTCCATATAAATATTTTCCAAAAATAAGTAAATTACACTCCCAGTAACCTGAATCAAAAAAATGTGCAATTATTTGCCAGTAGTCCCAATCTAGGCAAAACAAGCCCTAATTTTTAGTTAACGTAAAATATTTTTCACTACTCCTGAAAAAACTTATCTCAGTCCTCCAGTTTTCACTTGCATGAAAGGCAATGTTTCTATTTCAATAGTCCTACCTGTTTCCAAAATGCAGATAGCAATGACTATAGAAGTATATGTAAGTTTGCCCTTTCACAAGATAAACATGCTCAGGATTTCAGAGTTTTTTTGGTATTTCTGGTGAGGGGTTTTCCCCATTAAAAGAAGGCTGTGTATGGTAAGAAATAAATTCAATAACAGAAGTTAGAGAGCCAGATTATATTGTTGCTGTTTGTCTACACAGTCAAAAGTTGCCTTGTAACAGCAGCATTATCGCATACCTGTTTTAAAGCCAGTCTTCTATCAGCTTTTAAAGCTGTTATACAGAAGAGCTGAATTCTATTCTAGTTCTCTTTGTAGCCAGTTATTTTCATTGCAGGGCAATGATAGGAGTGAGGAACAGTCTCAAAGACTACTTCTGCAGACTTCACATGGAGCTAATTCAAAAGTAAATGGAAGTGTAGCAGCCCGTCCTCCAGAAATGATTCTGCTAAGCATTCTTACTAAAGTAGGACTTCCTCACTGAAGTTCAGGAGCAGCCCTTTTCGACATGGTTATGCACACAAGACTGACTAGAAACACGCATGCAATTCCAGGCACATACTCAGAACTCTCTCATTTCTGAATTGTTCACAGATACACAGTGTTATACAATACATCTGCTAAATTAAAATTATACAAAGGTTTACTGACATTGTCTGTTTAGAGATCTCATCACTATTACTGCAATTAGTGCACAAATCCAGTTTGAAGCATGTAGCCTGCTTTCTTCAACGCATTTTCCTCCTGCCTTGTTGGTAAATTACGAACATCTAAACTCATATTTCTCTATAAAAGAGTAGCATGCTAGGTAATACTGAGCAACGTTTAAATAAGAAGAGACTTAGTTTGCAGACATCTGAGCAAGGAAAGACACAGATTTGCATTTTCCAGAGTTTATAAAAGTTTAAGCTTTGCCTCTTTTTTTTCCCCCCTCCCCTCCAAATGAAGTCCTCTGGTACAGTCAAGATGCTGGTGCAATCTATGTCCTATTTTTACAGTTTGTCAAAACACGAAAAAATAATAAATAATGGATGGAGGGGTCAGACAAGTATGTTGAACCATTGAGCCACTTTGTTCAAACTGTGAACGTCAGAAAATTATGAACCGTCTGTAACTGAAAACTTCAGCTCAGGTGTAAGTTCACTGAACCAGCGCGACCTCAAGCACAAAGTTCTAACTATTATATGCTTTGTAGGTTCTCTGATCAACAGAAAATGTACAAGAAGCAGCAGTTACTCCTGGCACCATTTCCTTCCTCCTATATCTAGGGACTTCTGGCAGTAGCAAAAAGCCCTCTTGCTCCTGCTATGTTTAAAGTGTTTTGTTTTTACAATAGTTTGGCATGAAAAGTATCCTGTGACCTAAAAGGCTGAAAATACTCTATCACCGCACGGTCAAATGATCATGCTGTTTCCAAGAACTTCTGATTATTCTTGCTATTCCAATTTGCAAAATACACGAGACCATAACTGTTCTCTAAATCCTTTCGTAGTATTACATCCTTCCAGGACCAGCTCCATTAATAGTGTGCTATGTAAAACAACAGCAGCACTTATTCCCATATCCCTCTCACTTTTTTACAGATTACAAAGTGTTTTCTAAAATATAGCAAGAACTTTGAGTATGAGTGGAGCTAGATATTCAGCTTCACAGTTATTCTTCTCTGAGTAGGGTGCTTAGCAGGCCTTTAAAAAAAACTCCCTCTTCTTAGGGTCTGTTCCACTACGCTTACTGGGCTAATAAGGTAGCAACTATTTGCTTTGCAACACAACAAAAGGGGAAAGGCAGTTTGGGGCCACACATACCAGGCAGTAACTTGCTCTTGAAAAAGTTACATAGCAACTTTGTCACTGCACAGAATAAACTAAATCTTCATGTTAAAGATTCCACAGGGAAAAAAAAAATCAGGATTTTCTTTTTCCATTTAAAATAAAACAACCACTACTAATGAACCTTCAAAGGAAACCAAAACCTAACATGCCAAATCAGCGTTAGGATCATTATGTTTAGGGTTACCCAGAATTTTACAGACTTTCTCAATTCACTCCAGAAATAGCCCCACTGGAGTATGCTTGGTGTGAGGTGTTATGCAACAGCAGTACGGCTGGCAGAGTCCGGCCTTATGAACGCAGGTTGAAATCCACCTAACTTTAGACATTAAAAGGCTATTATACATTTAATTCCAAGTTTGTCACTGTAGGCTCTTCTACAGTCAATGGAGAGAAACAGGCATCTCCAGGGGGGCAATTCATCTGACCTGCCTATTTTAGGCCGAGACGAATCACTCCCTAAAGATGCCCATTTTTTCCTCCATTGACTGTAAAGCAAACCTAGGATGACTTCCCCAGACTTAGACCTCTACGTTTTTGATATCTTGGTGAAGGTTTCTGAATTCCGTCCACAATTTTCAGAGGTGAAACCAACATTTCTGGCAAATCAGGAGGGTTAAGTATGTGTTCTGTGAAACTGAAATTCTTGCACCAAACTCCCAGATTGCGTTTCTGCTAACTTTCACAATCCTGCCACTTATAGGTACACTGGTTTTGTTTTAACAGATTGTAATTTCAAGTTAAAAATATGCCATAATAAAAAAAATTAAAAGGCAAAAATAAATTTAACTCCAGCTCCTGCAGTAATAATGCTTCGTTTTTTCTGTCCTATTCAGAGCTAACTTCCACAGGATAACTTTTCTGAACCCATCAGTGAAGCACTTTCAGTATATATACTATTATTATTATAAAAGCAAATACAGCAAACGTCTTTCATCCATAACTACATTTTTCCTCCTGACAGTCTGACATGGAATTTCAATTTTTAGTTTTAAGCCTTTGTAACTTCATAGCAACATACAAATCAAGTACAGGATACTCTACTGAAAGAGAAATTGTTCAGTGTGCCTCTCTTTTATAATACAGGTTTTCCAGCTATGTACTTTTCCCATGGGATAAGCTGATGTTACACATTCAGAAAGGTCCTTTCAAATATTATTTTTGGACAGATGATCCATTAGAGCAGTACCCACCATTAGCAATGTACTCATGAATATGCTCTATACCTTAAGGCTAAATGAGCCCTCAGATAGAATATAATCCGTGATCCATCAGCATTTAACTTTAGAAACAGTCCTGTATGTTTTTCATTCAGCGACAAGCTCTTACCATATATGTCTTTTCCACCGACGTACTCATCTGTCCCTCACCAGGTCTGAACCAGCAACAATTTCTGTAATACACAAGCAAAATGTTCTTTTAAAGTATTATATAACCATCTTGTTTACTTTAAGTACATTTTTGATATTTTTCTTATTTTTTAAAAAAGTTATAGCTAAAAAAAACCTATTAAAATAGTTGTTTAATTGATAGATAAGAAAAAAGAAAACAAAAGGAAAGCTAAGTTGAAATATTCTGTAGGCACTGCTAAAGGGAGATCTTTTATAATCTTGTTCTTTAATATATCACTACAATTATCACTAAATAACAGAAAATAGGTTTTGGCACATGATCAACTAAAACAATCAAAAAAAAATTAATTTCATTCAACTCTATCTATTTCAGTCTGCCTAACCTACAATTTCACTCCATACTATATTGCTCCTGTGCAATCCATTTGGTCAAAAGCAGGCCTGCAGCAGTCTGTCAAGTTATTAGGTGTCTGATTACTGATCTTCCTGCAGTAACCCTGTGGCTGATTCTCCTCCCATGCTCATGTGAAGGAAGAATCAGACACTAGCTTGCATAAAGCTGTGAGTTAACGCTATCACTAAATGTCTAACTGAAATTAGAGCTGTCATCTACCACTGTCCTACTTACTTCCTGAATTTGGGTATATTGGGTATATAGCTATTTTAACTACCTGCAATCACATGCTACGCTTAAAGGACTTTTTTGGAAGCATTCTGCAAATTTTTGGCCATGATTCAGAATAGCAGTCCCACCAAGGAAAGTTTTTAAGCGCAGGATTAGCTGTAAGCCCATAGCTTATCTCCAATGGGAATGGCATGGTCTTTTCCTGGTAAACAAAAATGAGTCATTTTTGTTATAGGGGATACTCTACAGCCAGATCTAAAACATAAATCACTAAATTTCTTTTTTCAAGCAAATGCTTTATTTAACTGGCTGTGTAGTTATCATGGGGAATCACTACCACTACATACTGAAGTATGGCAGCCAGACAGAACTGAAACAAACTGTACATTTACCTGGATACTGAAAGCATCAACTGTTATATAAAAGGCAGCGCTGTCAAGCACTGTTCCACAGCATAGCCTTCAAAGCAGTTAGAAACTTCCCTGAGGACAAGGTACAGCAATCTATAATTGTCAAGGTGGTACCTGCACTAACTCTGAATATCAGGCTCTGACCTTTCTCAAAAGAGAATAGGAACTAGATCGCATATTTAGCGGATCCTGTATAATAACTCCTATGCTCCTCGGCAGACATACCCGCTGAAGGCAACAGTTTCAAAACTTCAGATGGCCACGCATCTGAAAAATTCATACCTGAACACTTAGAATGGTCTAAGCTCATTGCTCTTGTAAAAGTGCTTAAATGTGGATTTTGTTTTCTTATTGTATTTAAAGAGCCAGCCCAGTTTTGGGAAGCTAAGTCTAAAAGAGCTGACAAGAATAGAGACAGAAACAGAGAGCTTTTCCCCAGCAAGAACACCATAAGTCTGCCAAGGGTCAGCACAATCAGCCCAAACACAGTTACTAGGGTGTAACTGGATAGCCCACAATAAACAACAGTAAAAAGAAAGTGCATATTGATTAAAATTGCCTAATTAAAGTTAACAACTGAACTCTGAGATTGCTCCGTGGTCTGAGCTGTTTCTCACTCTTTTATATGTTCCCAGATCCCTCAGCACATTTCTCTCTCTCAGAGAAGGTGTTAGTTATATTCTCCAAGCTCTGAAGTACCATAAAATATTTTAAGAAAAGCAGCAAGCTTTATTTTTACAGAATAATTTAGATCTGATTCCCCTTCAAACACTCTATATACCAGTAGCTAATAGACTACCAATTTCAATAAAAAAAAAATCCATAAACTTATTGTGTTTATATTATATAGAGGAAAAACATAAAGAACATGTTTCTACAGAATGGGGGTAAGGAGTGAGAACTGCTTTTCAAATGCAGTAAAAATAAGAATTCCTCCCCTATGCTGAGACCTTCAAGTCAAGTTTCACACCAGGGCAAGTTTTTATTATTAAGATACAAAGTCCTAAAGATATAGATTTATAATGGGCATGCTGACGCTATCTAGTAATGCTTATGAATGTCCATGCAGTACAAGTTAAAGGCATTGAACGAGTCCCCAGAATTACTCCTAGGCATGAGGCAATTTTTATATCCACGCAACTAGTTTGATTAAAGTCATATGAACAGGTGTCTAATTTTTATATACCCCTGCAAAACTCTTGTGTTTTCGTTACTGAGGAGAAAAAGGAGGAGGCAGTATCTGCTCAGGTATACCTATCCTATAAATCACAACATTTGGAACCTTAGCTCTCATAGTAAAATAAAATGCCTTGCTATAAAATTAATAGCAACTAAGAGAAAACACTTTCTCTGATGGCTGCTTGGAGTTATAGACACAAATGAGCTAGTGGTCTCTGTTAAATTTCTAAAAAGAAAAGGTCAAAAGCAATCTCATCCCCACTCCCCGCGTTCTCTCACCGTCCAAATTGCTTTCATGTTGGCAATACCTGCATAAAAGTAAAAACATGGAGCAAAATTTGGCCCCACAGATGAATAACAATTTCCACTGAACTTGCTGGAGACAGGATTTCACTTGTGGAGAACAAATTATCTCAAATCAAGGTTTGGTTCCCCTTGATCAAATTTGAGGTTCAGCATGTTTATAAAGCGACAACTGCAGGATACCTGAACTTATATGTTCCATGCTATAATTTTTCTTTTCATATATAGGAGAGCAAGACGTCTGTTTTAGGCAGTTTGCAGTCTAAAACCAAGTCTGCAAAAGTTTATGACTGAACTGCCCTAACTAAAAGCATCCTTCATAGTACTAAAAGTTACACCTGGGTTATGGAAGCTGTGTCCCAGTGAAGAGAAAAAGATCAGCTTATACTAGGAACATGAATCATTTTAGAAATATTAACTAATGCTTACATTTTTAAGATAAGCATCACTTCTACTACAAGTGAGCACATTTAACACACACATTAGCTGGTTCTAGTCAATCTTAGAATGAAAGGCATCCCTATAACAAGCAATCTGAAACACACATCTTTTTACCAACATTTTGGACTAGCTACTAAGAAATTCTTTATCAACACACATGGGATTGAAATGATAATGATAACATCACTTCTCTCTTCACTGAGATATTTCAGATACAGTTAGTGCAGATGACCAGGTCAGGCCCAGTTATCAAAATAAGCAGTGATAAGCAGCATACAGTCCCTAAGGGTTATCAAAAGGATTAAATTTTGGAAGGGAGGGTGAAAAAGGGATCATTTATGACAACAGGTGAGAAAATCCCCTACAAAAAGGTACATTTCCATCAGAACTGGTTTGTGCTAAACAAGAAATCAAATTACTTCATTGAATAGTTTCGGCTGTCCAAAACTATCAAAAGCTACTCAACGTTATGGACAGCCTCCCATGATCTCTCCTTAAAATAAACCCACGTGTAACTCGGAACAGCCAAAAGGCAGCTCTAATTTGTATAATGCCTGCTGTCTAGAGTTCATCAGATCACTCTGACATAAGACTTTTCTAAACTTTGTGCTTACTGAATAATTTTCAGCCCTGTGAAACGTCATTAAATTAAAATTTCACATAATATGTATACGATACACAATACTAATTTTTTTCATATAAAACATTCACTTATTACTCTTACCATGATGTTGCCCTATTTTTAGGAGCACAACCAGAATTAATTTTATTACAATTTCATGCATGTTCAACAAGAATGCAGAAAACAAAAACAAACAAAAATAAACCAAAAGTCTGTATTGAATTAACACTTCAGGTTCAGGCTGACTGAATAACACTTGGAATATACTGCAAACAGGAAATATATTAAGCATCATTTTTTTAAAAACAGTCCCGAAAAAGCTCTAAATTCTGTAGCCTATGAACTGAAGTAAACAATAGACTGTTTGGAGATTTTCCTATTGATAAAAAATTCTATATCCAAAAAGAAGATAATTATGATAGCCAATTCCCTCTTCCTCAATAAGCTAAGCAGGCAACTTTAGCAACTGACCAAACAGGCATCAATGACTATCAGCAGATGAAAGAAATCACCAGTCTTTTTCCAGGATCAGCTGTAAAGTAGCTTCAATGACTTTTCAGGCAGCCTACCTGGTTTGTTTGCCACTTTAATACACTAGTGGCTACTTATGCAAAAAAGGGAAAAACTAATTAAATTTGTTTATGTATGTTATCGTGTGGAACACTCATTTCCAGACATCAAGCTATGAATCATTAAATAACTGCTAAATTGGTCTCCAGGGATAGATCGCGTCTCAGAGTTGGGCAGGCCCCCGTCCCACCAAAGCCAGGTGTGCTCTGCAGCAAGTAGGCATTAATAACTGCTTTAAAGGCTGCGATTTGGGTATGCAGCCAGGCCTCACACTGGGAGGTGAGTAGTAGGAAATCATGAAAACAGTGACAGCCTTCCTGTCAGAGTTGCTCCTCTATTTGATTAATGAGGGCATTTGAAAGACAATTAGCCAGAGCAGGTTTGGCTGCAACTAGCTTATCAATCAGGCCCCCTCTATTCAAAGCACTAGTGCCGCACTCTTTTTCTGTCGCAAAAGAATTCTATCAGCGGTACACAAACAACAAGGGACCTTTACATGGTATTTAAAAAGAGGAGAGCTGACTGTAGTAAACCACGAACGATATAGTAAAAATGTTTTATAAGCCACAAGCCATTGTCATTACTACAACTTTCATATCATTGAGTTTTTAGGTTGTGTATGGTGAATTAAAGCCTACACAACTACATCAAACACTTTCGAGTTTCCAAAGGGCAAATTTTAGCTAAGTTTTCAACAACAAAGAAACCCAACCACAAACAATTGCATCCATAAGAAGAAAATAAAATATTCTTTCATTGGAAAGCCTGCTGTGAGCCCTACGCTCTGAACCTCATGTTTCAAATATGGATCATTTCCACTTAAAAAAATGAATTTGGTGCAATAACTCAATTTGATTTATCCATTAGTATGTTCTCTTACGGCTTTCCAATAAGAAATTAAGCATAATATAGCATAAACCTAACTTTTCTTAGACAGCTGCTCTTGCAGCAGCATGTTTCACTGTTTAACTGAGGTAGCACTTTGCCATATGTAAATGATCAGAAATATGGAATTGACTATTTAAACTCTGTCAGTGCTTTTCCTGAAGATTTTCCTTTCCATCAGAACTACTTTTAATCAGACACCTGCCAGAAATAAGAAAACTGTGATTTTACCTTTAGAGCTGAATTACTGACTAATGTACTTAAATTACACAGCCAGTAGATTTGAATAAATCCAAGACTGAAAGAGTAGGATTGAGTATGAAGCCTGATGTACCACTTTCCCTTGCAGTTTAATTTTCCCTGGTAATACCAGATCAGAAGCTTTTTTAATGTATGACTAGCGTAGTACTAAGTGGATACATCTGGAATGTTAGGAGGCTTTTTTTTT